TAATAATAAACATGCTAATATGATTTGGAACCCAGAAACCAAAAGCTTTCCAGTTGTTTTAATAAAAATCACTTTCATAAAAATTCAAAATCAAATCACTTTAATCTTTTTCCATCAACACTAAAGGATAATCATTAAAAAGTACAAGCAGAAAGATGCATAATTCCATCATAAATATCAGCTGAATCCCTGACATCTGCATGTTTACCGATGTGACCTGGTTTCAGCCACATAAATTCCCTGATTGAGTTCGTCATGAATAACTGTGACGTCGCTGGGAGTTTTCTCGCCACACCAGTTAGAGCATCCCAAACGCAGAAGCAGCACTCACTTGTCAGTCATGGCTACTTGTTCCAGCATGGCAGATCCAGTGTTGCTTTTCCAATTACCAGAGATGGATGTTCGCCTGCAGAAGAAGAGGAAATTGTGCATTAAATTAGTGCAGACTCAAGCCTTCACCTTGGGAGTTTTCAGTACGGTTAATTTACGTCAAACTGTGGTTGATGAGATTCTGAGGAGAAGCTGGCTCAGAAAACGCTGAGGCAGTCAATAAACAGGGCTGCAGATCAATACATTGTCTTATGGCTTTTGTTTTAAGCTGATATCACAGGTTTAACCTAAAAAAGTGGGAGAACCTGCAAAATTATTAGCTCATACACGTAGACCACGTCTTCCACAAAACACCTTAATGAACACAAACACACACTTACATGTAAGCTTTATAGTCTGTGCCAATTTTCTGGACCCTGATGTCATATTTGGCATCTACAAATGGCTCTGTAGTACAGTAGGTTTGAGTGATGGCCACAACACTGGCAATATCCTGGAAGTCACTCACATTATCCACTTTAACCTTAAAAACACACACAGGGAAAAATAGTTTATGTAAAAATAATTACAGTATTTCGTACTTTTAGAACTAAATATTTTAAAGGTAGAGCCTTGAGGTCTGGCTTTGTCTATACATTTAAACTTCAGTATGTCTGGCAGCTATTATTGTACCAAGAAGGAATCAGCGTTCCAGTACCTTTCCCATTCCAGAGTGAGCGTGCCCGATCTTCACCACAACTGGGAAACTTGGTGTTGTAATCTGTAAAACAAACAAATAAGTATAAAATGATTAATGAATCATGCTGATCTTATAGAAATGAATTCACTCAGAGGGAAAAATGACTTATCTTGAGATATTTTATGACAATGATGTAAGTAAGATCTGAACTTTGTAATATTGTATGTGGGGTTCCACAGGGTTCTATATTGGGACCAAAGTTGTTTCTTCTATGACTTGGTAAATGTATCAGGGTTGTTTTTATGTGTTTTATTTGCAGACGACACTACATTTTTTTGCTTGGGTAAAAACATAGAACAGATGTTGGAAATGATGGAAATAGAATTTGTAAAAGTACAAAATTGGTTTAAACGTAATAAATTATCATTAAATTTAGATCAAACAAATTACATGATATTTAGTAATAGAAAGAAAACAATTAGCCATAAGAATTATCACAAGAAAGCATTACTGTCACCCTTCTAATATATTGTTTCATCAATTAAAGTTGTTAAAATTTCATGAGTTGCTTGATTATAACATTCTGCAGGTTATGTATAAAGCTCATAAAAATGTGTTGTCATCAAACATCCAATCATATTTTGTTAAGAGGGAAAGCTGCTATAATTTGAAGGGATTAAAATATTTGTTAAACTGAAAACCAGAACCAACTTGAAGGACAGATGCACTTCTGTAAAAGATATAAGACTATGGAATGATCTGTAGGATGAATGTAAAAGTATTGGATCAGTGAACTTCTTTAAGAAAACAATCAAAGAAAAAAATGTCATAGAAATATGAAATTATTTAATTTGTATTAGTTACTGATTGAGGAATTGAAATTTTTGTTTTATTATTTGGTTTATCATTGTTTGAAATATTTTTTTAATTAAAAAAGGGGCAGATATAAGAATTTTTGTCTTCTTCTGCTGCCTTTCATTTAATTTAATTTGTATTGTTTTATTGTGTGTAATGTTTTGTTTGTTTTTGTTTAAGACAATAAACCGGACCTGGTGCTTGTCGAACAAACAAGGTTTCACTTAAAATACTTGATTTTTGTAAAAACTCTAACACTAAACATCATTTTAAACAAAGCTCGAAAAGATGTGTGTTATTTTTAAAGTGATTATGACCAATAAGAGATTCATGGGTGAAGTGATGAAGGGCTTCAAAGGAGGACGAAGGAAGAGGCTGAGGATGCCAGCTTTTTCCCCCTGAATTTTAGGAGGCTGTCCTTAAATTGTTGAGCACATAAGAGGCTCCCTGTGTGCGACCCTCTCAGCATTCAAGGCCAGAGTGAGAGGGGATCTAACTATTGTGCGACTCTCTGTGTGTTGTCTGCAGAGAGGAGGAGAAAGAAAGAAAAGAAGAGGGAGCAGCAGTGGGAGCGGCGGCGGCAGCCTTCAACTCGAGTTATTTGCTGAAGCTTGAATCCAGAGTTGCACTTTAAACTTATGAAAACATTTCCATCCACAGTCGCCTCTCAGCTCTGCAGAGAGAGCTCGTCCTTCTGCGTCGACCTCGCCGCCTCATCCGCCACACGCCCCCCCTCCTCCGCCAGTCGACCCGAGCGGCCTTCCTTTAAACTCGACGGGACGAGAAGAGGCTGCAGAGTGCCCATCGAGTGGCGAGGCCGTCAGCGGTAGCCTGAGCCACCATGGCCGTGTCCCAGGAGCGGAGCGTGCATCTGGGGCTGTGGATGCTCCTTTTGCTTGGAGCAGGCATGGAGGAAGCTGTGGAGGGATGCACCTGCCACCCAGCACACCCACAGCAGCTCTTCTGCAGCGCTGAGATTGGTGAGTTAGTGTCCAGAGATGCCATTCACTTTTTACAGTAATATTAAAATGGTGGGAATTATATAAGCTGCAGGTCTGAATAATAGCAAATTGATTCTTTCAAAGTGGCAGGAATTTGCTTCTGTCTTTGTTGATGAACTAATCGTTTCTCTTATTGATTGACTTAATTTGATCAGTGGAGGGTTAAAGACCAAATCCATACAGTTAAACCAAGTCCAGCTCAACCATTCAGGCAGCAGAAAAAGTATGTGTTGTTTTTCTGATTTTTTTAGGGTTCTTTGTGAAATACAACCCTAATGGCAAACTTACTGATTTATAAATACTTTTTTTGGGGGAAAAAAATCTAATATGATCTGTATGCCAACACTGTTTCAAAAGTCAGGTGTGATAATTGAGCATTTTCTTATCACACAAACAACCCTTGCTCAGGCATAAACACAGCCTACATTCTCTCTGCCTGTCTCTCTGTCCAGTCCTCCCCTCTCCACCATTTTTTTTTTTTTGTCTAAGCATAAGCCAAAACCAACACTCTGCTTTGACTCTGAGTACTTGGCTCTGGACTGTAGAAAGCTGGAGTATGTGCTTCTGTCAAAGGTTACACTCCAGCAGGGGTGCAAGGGAAGGAAAGAGGAAAGAAATAGCTTTTTCTCAGTCTTGTTTTAAGGTCAGAGGGTAAGCTCTTCTGGAAGTGCTTTTAAAATGTGTCTTGTCTGCGTGAAATGGAGTAAGAAAGCTGTTTTTATAAGCACTAAGTCTAAAGACAAGGAAAATCTGGGTCAACAGAAAGCACTGAGGGTCTGTGGGACAATGTTTTTGTGATGGTATTTTACACATGAGATCTATGTGTGAACAAAAAACAAGTGCCACTCATCACTGAGATGAGGATCCTGCAAATGGACATGGTTTTAAATAGGTGTGTTTGCGAAGAAGGGGTAATCTAGAAAGGAAGAGCTAATTTGATCTCAGCTGTTTAAGAATTATAACCTTCAGTTGGTATTTTGTGGTAAACTTTATTATCAAATGTCCCATCTGGTTGTGTAACATTATGAAACAAAACAAACTAGATGACACCAGAGTTTTGTCATTTTATTACTCTGGGGTTACTTTGTCTCCAGCATTCAAAACTAAAATACTTTTTTAAAATAGTCTTATAAAGCTGTAAAGCACATTTGCAAACAACTCAGCCAAACATTGATCAATGTAAACCACTAGAACAAAATTTATATAATTATATCTTCACAGGCTGAGCCTATTTGTCTTCACATTGCTTTGTTCTTTTCCTTTAGAGGCAACTCTGATCAAATCACCCCATAAGTGATTATAAACTATGACGCATGAACTGCAATTACCCTTTATGCTGATTAGTTTGCACACAACAGACAGAAATGTGCTTTTTAGGTGTTGGAAATGGCTGTTTTACATTTCTTTTCACTAACTTGGAGATACTCTGTGCAGCAAAATTTCTAATTATTTTGGACTTGAACAAGAATGAACACGAGGTTGTGGTAAATCTAAAAACCTGTGAGGTTTGGGTCTGTTTGTAGGAGAGCAATTGCAGATTGAAAGGTTGACTTTCTGCAATGGAAAGGCCTGTAAAATTGCAAGTGACAGTTGCATTTAAAAAAAAAGAGAGAAGAAAACCCTGGATGTAACTCTAATTGTAAGCCTTCCCAGGTGACAGCATTACGTTTCACTGTTTACATTTAGTTACAAATTCATTTGTAGAAGAGTTTCCTGCTACCTTTGGGGGGGTTGTTAAAACACATCGGTTCACTTTCAATCTTTGAACAAATATCTAAACTCAAGGGATGAACCAGTGCTGTCTTTTAATAACAAACTTAACTGATTTGATTTGATTTAATTATTTATTCCAGACTTGTCAAATCATTGAATCTATATAACTCAATATACCCTTTCCCATATCTACAAAAAAGAATAACTAAAAACTAAACAACAATAATACTAATTCTAATTTTAGACCATTTTTATTACTCTTGTAAAATTAATTTTTAGTTAAATTTATACATTTATAAAAAAAATCACAGACATTTTAGTTAAAATGTGACTAAATATTTGTTTCACAAGATTTTAAAATATGTAGCAAGGATGTAGGACAAAATTAACACATCAGGGCCTTCAGTTAATAAATTTGTTCACCTCATCAGAAAAGATCTCTTTGAAAAGAGTAGTTGTCAAAAATAAATTCTTAAAAAAAGCATATAATAAATAATCCGGCATCCTTAAACCTACAATAAGTTGATTGGGGATTTAATTCTTGTAGCTCAAGTTAGTCTTTAACTTTTTGACACTATCATAGTTTTGTAATTTTTTGTTAGATGGGATGTGATCAGAAGAATTAAACTAATAATACATTACTGTGATTTTGTAATAAGATTTTTTTGCATTAACAAACTGTAAACTGCATCAAAGTTTTCAGCTAGTTTTTGTTYCAACCCTGAGCRACAACAAACATCCTGGACGGGTCGATTTGATCTCAGGATCTTTTATRTCTGCGTGCCAGCTTGGAGGATTTTATTTGTTTTGGTTTGAAATGAAGGAATCCACCTCTGAATAACCAGTTCATCCCTTTTCAAGTAGAACACAACTCTCTTAGTCTTTCTAGGACCATGAATACCAAAGTCTCCATTTTGTTAGTTTAGGTATTTCAAAGAAAATCCGTCTCTCGTTGGTGTCTGTGGTTACGCTGTCCCGGTTGTTTTTCAGCGTCCAGGCTGGTGGTGGCCTGAAGTTGACCTGACAGTGCTGTCAGAGTCAATGACTTCTGTGAATAAAGCTGTATATCTGAGTAATATCCCCATGTGTGCACAAACCTTGGATGATTCCCTGCTTAGGATTTGTGCATTTGACATTGTGTGTGTGTGTGTGTGTGTGTTTGTTGGATGAGGGCCAGTCCATGCCAACACAGCCTACTCCATCTCTCTCTTTTCTTACCCTCTCACTCCCCACCTAATTTCCATGTCTATAGGCTCAGTCTGATGGTCTGCATACTAACAATATCAGTGTGAAAGCCCACTGACAGTCCAGCTTTGTGAGCATGACAAGGGTGCCGATTCATCTGGGAGGGGGGGAGTTACTTACAACATTAGTTCTCATGGTACAAGTTTGCAATATTTCTCTTTGGTTATGGAGCTTCGCGGCGGATGAACGGGCACTTAGACTCTGCAGGTGCGCTTCGTCTTTGAGTGCACAACACAGCTGCAGCAACAGAAATGGCTAACCTCGTTTGGGAAGGTTAAAAATGTTTAGAAGTTGGATATCTAGTCCTGTAATTCTGGGCCAAGAGAACCGTTTTAGCAAGGGACATCGCAAACATGTTCTACAGGCACTGAATCAATGTATAAATGCACACCAATGTGTTTAAAATCCACAACGTCCAGATCCAAGGGATGCTCTGAATAACAAGAGTGACGATACAGCATGAGAGTCGTGACTGGTGCAGCATAACATTTATGAGCTGCCTGTTTATTTAGCTGTGTAATCAGTGCTGATGTGATATGCTCAGAACAAATTGTGTTAATTGAGCACCACTTCACAACACCACACAGAGTGTTGGGCTTGTAACCTGTTGAAACTGTGTTGGCACTACCAAACAAAACAAGCTTCTACACCTGGTTACAGAGGGGTGAAGCTCAGTGGTAAAAATACCATTAGAAGGTTGTATATTTCACACAACAAAAGTAAAAKTTGGCAGACATTTTCAAATAGTCAGGAAACTACCTCAAAAAACAAAGATTTTGATTCTTATTAAGTTGCTTTGGAAATAAAATGTTAACTCAATTGTTTTTTAAATGTTATTTTAAAATGCTAGTGCTCCAAATGGCTTCTTTTTTTAGTCTTGTACATTTAAGGAACCACCAGTTCTATACTATATCCTGAGAGGAAAGTGTTCTCACAGAGTGAAGAATTCCTTTGAGATCTTATAGTGAAATGAGATTTGATTTCAACACAGATTAAATATGATTTTTACTTGAATTACTTATCAGTGCTGTATCAGTGTATTTCAGAGAATGATTTGGACGCTGGATCAAAAATGACTCCAAGATTCAACAAACTATGAATGGAACCCAGATTTTGGACAGACTTGGAGACTTTTGTAATTAAAAGCATTAATCTTGGTTTTGTGCAGTCAAAAACTGATCATTCAGGCCATTTATGTTTCCAAATGATCATGTAACTTTATCCACTAATTACTTTCAAGAAATTTTCCAGAAAAGTAAATTAAGGTATCATCAGCATAAACTAGAAGTTGACCATGTTGATACCACTTTTAAGTATTATTTACAATGTAAGTTGTGAAAATATTTTGTAAACTAGTTTAAGAGTTAATTTAAGATAAAATTAAAATAATAATGTGTTTTCAGTTGTTTTTATGACACACAAAGAAACAGGGTTTGTAGGAGTTCAGCAGTCAGTTTAGGTGTAATTTGACATTTCAAATTAAAAGGCATATCATCTGTTATAAAACATAAATTTAACTGCTTGTTTATTTATTTATTTATTTATTTATTTATTTATTTATTTATTTATTTATTACTACAGGTATTGTAGAACATAAAGAAAAATCCAAGTCTGTTAAAAATGCATTGCTAAAAACCTGAGTTGTGCATTAAAAGGATAAATGTAAAGAGAGGAGCTACTTAACATTTTGTACAAAGGCAACACCCCTACCCCTACCATTGGTATTGTTGGTAATGCAATACACTCAAATTTAACACTCAGATTAAACTCTCAGGCATTTGTTCACTTTTCCATCTAATGTGGCGTTGAACAAACAAACAAAAAGCCTCAGTTTCTCTAATTTCACAGAACAGGCTGAGCTCCTCCTCCTACCAGCACACAAAAACCTCGGTGTAGTTTTATGTGATGACCCAAAAGAAAAACTAAGTGGGTGGTTTGCTAAGCTGTGTGTGAGGTTCACTCTGCCTGTCTCCCACTCTCTCATACTTTCTTTTTTGTCCTTCATGGTTTTACGTGACCCACTTGTGATTCTTTGATGTCCCCCCTTCAGTTTACTAATCTCAGACATTTGCATACGGTGGAGGCTTTCTCTGTTTCTTATGCTGAGAAAATATGCATGAATCTATATACTATAAAGGTTTAAGGGAAATATARATATCAAGTTTATGTAATCAGGATACTGCTAAATTGACAATAAATATAGAAACTTATACAACATTACAGTAAAGCCAAATGACTGGAACTACAAAATGCAGTGTACTTACCTTGTAGAAATGATATAGAATAATTGTAGTAATTAYAAAGACTTGTAGAAGCAAAAAAATAAATAAATAAAAAAGAATACAGACTTGGAAGTGGGACTGTCATAGTGACAAATGAGCCCACAGTTGCTGCGACAAAATCCAATAACTACAAAAAATTATTCAAAATCCCAGTATAAGTAAAATATAGTATGGGTTTAGCTCTATGAAAAGACAAAACATTATATATTGTACTTTTAACTCTTTAACCATTAGCCAAGGGTTGTGGAATGGATATAAAATTTATTGTTTTAATAATGTGCTTTTTTATCATTGTTTAAAGGATTTCATGTACGGAAATAAATCACAGACAAATGTATTCTAAGGGCCATGCATTGTCACGCTGCAGACCAGTAATTTTTTATATTTGGCAGTTGGATATGTTTTAAATGATTGCAACTAAGCTGCTAAAACACAGTGTTGGGAAAATTATGGCTAAGGATTAGAAAGTGGTGTGAGGAAAACGTGAGTTTATTGCAGCCGATTGCCATATTTAACAAGAACCTCCCAATTTGCATGTTATTCTAATATCGTGGAGTTTCTAATTTAAACATAAAAGTTCAAATTAAATGAGTCAAGGTGTTTCAGGAAAAACACACTGCAGAAAACATGTTTGTTTTACGCATGCAGACAGTCAGCATCATGCTAATACTGACCTTTTTATCATGCGTGTAAACACAACAACAAAAACATCAGATGCAGGAAAACACAGCTGTTTCATTGCTGTGTCTAAATGCTGTCATTAAGCTATGATTGGATATTTGCTGGTGGGAGGAGCTTACAACAGAAAAACAGAGTTATGCAAACGTCCAGAGAGCAGATGGGGAAAAAAAGATCGTAGCTAAAACATTATTAAGGTTTAATTTGGCTGAATTTGAACTGTGTGATGATTTAAAGGCTGCATGAAGCATAAAACATAATCAAAGTGTAATTGTGTGTGCTGAGTTAGTTTGGAGAGAGCAACCAGAGCCACTTGTTATTCCATGAGGGTTTTGAATTTCCTCCCAGAAGAAAAGAATGACACATCCTGTATTACTACTGAGAGGCTGCGACACTGTCTGTGTGAGGAGGAAGAGGAGTGACAAACAAAGTGATAGAAAAGAAGAGAGAGCTAGAAACAGTAGYGATGAATCTATATCATCCAGGATATTTTTTTTCCTTCTGGTACATCTGCGGCATCATCCTCTTGTTTCACCTSCCACATTTATTTGTCCATTTAATTCACTTTACCCTATCTTCCTTTTCCCTAACAGTGATAAGGGCAAAGATCTCTGGAGAGAAGATTGTGTCGCCTAACAACAGCTCCTCGCCTTACATGAAGATGATCCAGTACGAAATCAAAATGATCAAGGTGGGTTCTGGCAATAGCAGCAGCTGTTGGTGCAGGAGCGTATCATTTTTACTGTGTGAGCTGCAGGGTTTAGCCATGGCTTGATTGCACATTATGCACAAAGAGGAGTAAACAATATATGCACGATGCCTCAAACAGGCAGTTTAGATTTCCTACACGCCGAAAGGCACAGAGCTGAAATACAGACTCTCTTATTTAATATTCTCAACCTCTTGTGCCTCTTTTTTCTTCCCTTGCCTTCAAATTGTCAAAGGCAAGAAAAAAAACCCTGCAAATAGCTTGTTTTCAGTCTGTAAACGTCCAACTTCACTTGACGTTATGGATTTAATAATGAATATGGAACAGGGTGGATAGCATGGAGGTGCAGAGGTTAGAGCTCAGGATCATTTCCTGGCCTCTGCCCTATTCATTATGTTCTCCCCGTGCATGGGTGGGTTTTCTTCAGGTACTTTGATTTCTTCCCACAGACCAAAAACATGCATGTTAGGATTATTGGTAACATTGAATAATCTTAAAGGGATCCCTGATTAGTTGTAACATTATACTTTTTTGATAAACATATATTTTAACTGTAAAATAAAGATTTAGGATGTTTCGTTTAGTAGATTTTTAAAAATATATTTTAACACAAATGGAGCCATTTTATTTACACATAATGATGCTGAGCTAATACATATATGTGGTTATAGCATTGGGGCTAATGCTAAATCTAACAGGCTAAGCTGAAGTTCTTCTTCCATGAAGCAGCTCTGTTGTCCTCCATCTATATTTTCAGTTACAGGCTGAGTCATTTCTACCTTAACGCTCTCTGGTTTCATTTAAAAGAGTCGATCATCAGATATTGTCCAAGATTAACCTTCAGGGTGGATATAGCTCGCTCACACCGAGGACCTATCCACATCCTTATTTACCCAGAATGCTTTGCGTGTAAATAAAGTGGCCCTGTCTGTGTTAAAATATTTTTAAATGTTTAGTTTAAAAATGATAAAAACTGAACATCCTACAGTATTTTTGTAGTCTTTATTTTACAGTTAAAATATGTTTATTAAATAAAGTCTAATGTTACAACTAATCATGGATCCATTTAAGGTGTGAGCTAAAATGAAACCTTTAATGCTAGAAGTCCATTTATCCTGTCTTACACTGTCGTTTCACACGTTGCATCAGATTAACATCATATTAAGCAAACAAACCACATCCGAAATGCCTCTGTCTCCAGATGTTTAAAGGTTTTGACCGAGCCAAGGATATCCAGTATGTGTACACGCCGGTCTTCTCCTCTCTGTGTGGAGTCAAACTGGACTCCAACAATAAAGCAGGTTATCTGCTCTCAGGTACTGCAGCAGCTTTTATTTTTTTAAATTACACTTTGAAAAGAAAAATAATGCAATGGGTTAAACTGTTTTAGCAGAAGAATGCAGAAAAGTGAGACTTGCCGGGATTTTCTTGCATTTATATTCTGGGGGGAAATTACTTTCAGTCACGTTAAGATGAGAGTGGCTTTAATACCTGTTTCACCTAATTTAGCAGAAAACAGCCTCGACATGCGACTAAATCCGATTTTTTAGGTATGTTGCAATATTTACTTAAAAAGTRGTCGGAACATGCAGCGTCATAAGGAAAAAAAATTGTATAGGTCCTCTGGACGGGTTCTTCTTTAATGAAACGTTTCGTCTCTCTTCCAAGAGACTTCTTCAGTCTAAGAGTTTCAGGCAAAATTCAGGCTTTTGAGTCCTGCCTCCAGGTGACTGATTTTAACCCAGGTGTCGTCAACATATCTGAACCAATGCCACCGAGCCATTGGTTCAGATATGTTGACGACACCTGGGTTAAAATCAGTCACCTGGAGGCAGGACTTAAAAGCCTGAATTTTGCCTGAAACTCTCAGACTGAAGAAGTCTCTTGGAAGAGAGACGAAACGTTTCATTAAAGAAGAACCCGTCCAGAAGACCTATACATTTTTTTTTCCTTTTGATTTTTTACCTGGATTACTGAGATGCATCAGGACATGCAGCGTCATGTTGCACAATCTGATTCTAATACAACTCAAATAATACCTGCAGTCCATTTAAGTGGAATTTTCGGCCACTTGTTGGAATAAAAATGAAATAAAGATGTGGTTGTGTTATGTACCTTATAAGGAAGCATGTGGAGTGACGGGCGGATTTCTATTGGTCAGTGTGACCTGGTGGAGTCGTGGGACAACTTATCTCTGTCACAAAGAAAGAACCTGAACTACAGATACCAGATGGGCTGTGAATGTAGAGTGAGTACATCGATTTATTTTTACAGACTTCTTTGTCTTGAAGGTGTGTCCATGATTTTTGTTTAAAAGAAGCACCTTTAACAGTTCCAGTTCTACACCCCTTTCTCCCAGCTTTTCCTGTGTTTATTCAATCCAGATCTAAATTCCTATTCAGAACAGATCAGTTAAGTAAACAAGATTTTTTTTTGAAAGATGACTGGGTTTGTGCTCTCTTGTCAGATCAACACGTGTTACACAGTGCCGTGCGCGTCTACAGGAGAGAACGAGTGCTTGTGGACAGACTGGCTGCTGGATAACAGTCTAAACGGGGAGCAGGCTCGACAGTACGCCTGCATCCGCCGATCGGACATGAGCTGTAGCTGGTACTGGGGCGGGCCTCCACCCGAGAAGGAATTATTGGACATGAGCGACCCGTGATCTGTAAATCTGACACATCTGTCTTTTAGCGTTGTAAGGAAGCAGAGGAATAAATTGGACAAAAACATACATTAGGAGACAGTTTGTTTTAAACTGCAGGGGGAAACCTGACACTACTTTGTTAGTAAAGTTCAGGTGTAACGAAGGAATATAAACTGCAGGGCTTTCGAGCGTTCCTGACTCATTTTCACAGCTGTACACATTCCCCATTACAGAATAAGAATAGCAGCAGAACATCTACAGCAAACCATTCACACCTGATTGAATGTTTGCATCATGATAAATAYATTTCTTTAACAAATGTGGAAGATCCTAAAACTGCTTCTTTCTAAGGTGTAATAGGTTATATATTGATTTGATTTGTGAATGTAGTGAAATAGGCACAAGAACGTTGTTCAGTTGCTGTTTAAAACTGTGTGCACCTCATGGCACCACGATTCCAGCACATCGCCTGGAAACACACACTGGTGTTTTGTTCATTTGATTTGATTCATAATTACTAAATGAGAATATAAATACTTGACAGCACTGTGTGCAAGTTTTTAGGCACTAAATTTACAACACTATCTCAATGCAACAATGAAAAGTTATTTATTTTTCAAATTTAGACAAAAGAAAAGAGGATAGTCTGTTGGTTTTTCTGTTTAGATTTTTTWAAAAAGAGGTTCAGGTAATGAACAGCTAATATCTTACCTGTTGTAGATAGTCTCTTGAGTTTTGGTTTAAACTGAAAAAACAAATGACTATTTGGAGCAGGGCCAAAACAATAAAGGTTTGCTGCCAACTTAATTATTCAAAAACCACTTGGGCCTTTTTTTAAAAGAATTAATCTGTTTAAAGACGGCAGCAATCCAGTTTCGTCTTAGCCTTGATCAGACTAGCCATTAGCTTGTCAATCAGGTCAGACTAAAACATCATTTCTCCAACAGGTAAGGTATTAAAATGAACATCAATTCTGCAGAACTCTATATAAAAAAAGATTTGAGTTACTGCATGAATCCTGATTGGGCTTTTAAAACTCTTGATAAGATGCGATCCCTTTGAAGTTCTTTAAACTTTTGCAATCAGCTGTACACATAGAGAAAAGCAATGTCAAATATTTTAAAAGGATTCATTTTCCCCCAATGCCACACAGAAATGCTACATCACCCTAGTTCTTGCACATCTAATTATTGCCAGTTTTATCTCAGAATCTTGAGTTTGTAAATATTGTTTTTCAAATAAAATTAACATTTACGCGGCTAACCTGATCTTCTCTTATTAGTGACTGTTATGTTGTGGTTTTTGTGATCTTAGTGCCCTTGGTTGAACTCTGTCCTGTTTCTTGTGCCAAAAATCTAATCTAGCGCTTAAACAACAGCACTTTTTTTTAGGAAAGACATGCCTTTCCTCCTTAGAGGAAATGATATAACGGGGCAAGGTTTCTTTCTTTTTAACTCCTTGAGACAGGAGGTGAATTCTTCTTGTGAGTAATGCAGATATATAACGAATGATGATCAGTGTAAAGACTTGTTTCTTAAAAAGTCTTATTGTTCAATTACTTCACTAAGGTCCACAAGTTAAAATGCATTATTACTTATTTTACTGTAGGTCAACATCACTTAAATGTATGTTTAAAGTGAAAATTTGCATCACAGTGCCATTTTACAAGATAAAAATGCATTACGATTTATGACTCTAGTGAAGTGTTAAACAATTTAATTGTTTTGTACTGAAAAATGTTTGGATTTGTATTTATGTCTCTGTTTCTGTCACAAAGTTTTCTATCTCCATGTACCAAAAAAATCCAATTGTATATAAAAGTATAAACAGAACAACGTGTCATGTTTGCTTTGTTGATTCAGTGACTAAAATGAAAACACAACAAAAGTCCAAACAAAAATTGGACAAAAACTGAAAAAGGAATTTATTTGTATATAATAATGTTACCTAAAGGCTGATTTATTTTCGTACAGGTTCCACTTTTAAAGACCATTTGAAACAAATCATTTTGGCCCATTTCTAAATGAAAAAGCACTTCAGTGCCTCGCCTCTGTGCTATGATTTAGTTTTTGTTTTACCAAAAGAAAATGAATTAAATTAGTTGCTAATTTAGGGACTACAGTAATTAAATGTCTGTTTTTTAGCTGTGAGTCTGTAGCAGTTGTTTTGACATGCCCAGTTTATAAAACAACTTTAACTATTCAAAGATTAGAGCAATTTAGCAACAAATTAAAGTTTATACAGTATCATATAAAAATGTTTTTGGAGGTGTGAGTTTGCTGCAGGCTGATTGACAGCACGCGGTGTGCAATAAAGATAGAAGAACTGTACCATGTCCCTGTAGTTGGGGTAGAACGTCTGATTGATGAGGGGGAATTTGTCCGCGCCCAGCCGCTTCTGATAATTGATCAGCTGAGAAAACTGCAAAGCAGGAGAAGAAAAGAAAAGCAACAAAGTTGAAGGGACTYCAAAACAGAACAGGATTTACAGCGCGTCACGGCAGCAGATTTTCATGGGAGTAAAAAAAGCTCCAACTTAAACTCACATCCCTGAAAATTCAAAGAGAAAGACATAAAACCTGGTTTAAAACTCAGGTTCGTATTTGTTCTGCGAACAGGACTCACAGCCCAGGGTTTGTCGCAGAGGTTGTAGATGGAGTCCAGAGAGTTGACGGAGGGGACGCCTGCGTACTGAAGCCCGATGATCAGGTTCCTAAAGTCCTCGTTTTGGGCCATGCTGAAGGCGTGCTGGCGAACCAAGACAAAGTCAGGCTTGAAGGACCTGGAACATAAAACAAAGAAGATGAAATTTGAAATAAAGCAAAACATACTTAGAGGTTTTTACACGTCTCACATGAAAACTGACTCTACCAAACYTCTGCTCACATTATTGTCCTAAAAATGACTAAAACCTGTTCTTTTTGTGGCCTAACAGTAATTGATAACCACTGCAAATTATACGATCACCTAATTAATGCAAATAAAAACCTGCATTCCTAAAAGTGCATAGTTAATAGATTCCAAACCCCTTTCTTGATAATTACAAGTTAAATGATTTGATGTGACATCTATAATTCTGGATTTGTAATTACACAGTATGAGACCAGTTGGTTCATTCTGTGTTTTGTCTGTGGTTGGAGGTAAATGTGAGAGCAGGAAGWTCTGCAACCCTCCCACACGTTTTGTCCTGTTAGGTAACCCCGTCCGTCCCTGGAAGGTGGAACCAAGCTGCTGGTGACACTGAGGTGACAGACTGCAGCCGAACGTTCAAGCTCACAGAAAACAACACAGAACTGCAGCGGAATCAACATTTGAGCAGGAACAAGGGATGCATCAGCAGCTGCATCGTTAAAAGAAAATGAAAATATTAAATGACAAATGGTTGCAATTGTGCTTTCACTGCTTCAGTCCATCATTTCACATGACTGCGCTCAGTAATAACTGTAAAAACAACAGCAACRGAGCAGGAAAAGCCATTTCAGAGCAACGGGTTGAGGTCAAAACATTATTTGCTGMAGTTCAACTCAGTGAAACGTTGATGGTGATCGATCACGACTTGTGTGGTTTCCCCCCCCGTTGTCTCGGCGTGTGTGCGACAGTGAGGAAACGTGTGGGGAAGCAGAAAAGTAGACAGAGGTGAGAAATGACACTGACAATAAAAAATGTGCTGCTCGCAGAAAAAAAAAGATACACTGTAAAAACTATTTTTTTATTTCAACACATTTCTCCATGATGATTTGAGAAATAACTGGTGAAGATGTTGAGATTAAATTATTGTTTGAGCTCATCCTAGCTTTAAAGTACATAAATAAATTCTACATACATGTCAATATACAGTATGTCGTGACAAATAAATATTTTATTAGTTTAAATGATTCCGCAAATAAACTTTTGCAGATGGCATATACTCACCAAAGTAAAATGGTATTTCTTTGTACTGAATAAATTGCAATTTTACTCACTATTCTTGGCAGTGCTTTCTAAGAAAATGCTAAAAAAATATGACAGAATTTCAAGGACACAGATTTGTTTTCATTAGATGAAATGGTGAATAAATCCAAGATTATTTTTTGGAACAAACGGAACATAAAGACCTAACTGAAAAGGCAGTTATCTGATATGTTAAGTCCTTTCAGTGACTGTTTGTGTAATTTGACCTGGCTGAGCAGATGGAAGTTAACCACGCATACATGCACAACGAGATTAGCAAATGCTCCAAATCTACTGCTGAGACCGAATCAGCAAGAGTCCAACTGAGGTCAAACTGTGCAGACTGCATGTGGGCAGAGGTGTATAGTAGCAAAATACATTTACTTTGTTTCAGTWCTTCAGTCAAGTGAYCTGTAATTTTATAAAAATATTTTATCGTAACGTTTACTTTTATTTTATTACATTCAGTACATAAAAATGATACTTTGTCTTATTAACATTACACACTACAATTTTAAATATGACTAGAACTCATCAAAAAAGGAGTTGTTTAGGCGCTTAAAAAACAAAGTATTGAATTTACTTAAAGTTATGTGAACTAGTTCACTAAACCAAGTTGAGCAATTTACACATTCTTTAAAGAAAATGTGTACACTGACTTACATTTATTTACTGACGAGTGCTGAATTAGTTTGTTGTGAGTTAAATAAATTCAACACTTCGGTTTTTGGAGCAGGGTTATTCAACCCACGAAACAGAACTGCCAACATTTTTTATTTCATTTTACTTAATATAAAAACACATTTAAAATCAACTGCACGTGTTAAATTTATGATTCAATGCAACAAAATATGCAAATTAAAAAGGTAAACGATAATAATACTTGTTCTGTTGCAACATTTCACATCAGTCCTCCGCAACCCCCTGCTACTTTCCTAAAGTCATTTTCTATTACAGTATTTTTACTTAGCTTTTTATTTTTTACCTCACTTAGTGCACCTCTGCATTTAGTTGACCCCCCACAAGGATTATTTTATAAAAACAACAACAACAACAACAACATAAAAATCAGTTTGACAGTACATTTATACTTAGCCTATTTTTATAGTATTACCAGAAACAGACAAAAAGTGAAAGAATTGAGGACAAGAAAAGACAGGAAACTTGTAGTGACATGCCCGGAGCCACGATGGAGGTTACTAAGCAACATGCAGACTCGGAGCAGTTAGCAAATCATTGCTGTGACTTTGAATCGATGAACACGATGCAATTACTGTGACAAATGTCGATAGTTAGGAACGTCAAGGCCTGGAATAATGCGGCCTGAAGTTGGACAYGTAGGACTTATGTTTGCGCTGCAGACCTAATGATTGTCTCCGCAGCAGACCCGAGCGTGGGGACGACCCGGACGACTCCTGAGACCTGAGAGGATCTAAAGGAATAAAGTGCTCTGCTGATGACTCTTTCAGGAAGGATGATTGCTAATTACTCTTTGTAAATCGAAACTTGCATGACTCCACATTATCTTTTGCAAATTCCCCAGTTAACTTGTTTTTATGAGCATGTGTGGAACCCGACGCTGATGAAGTTTAATTACGGGCCGGAGGTGCAGATTAAACTAGAGCTGCTGCTTCTGTCTCTGTGTGTTGCTGAGCTGAGTGGAGCTGTGGGAGCTGAAGTCTTATTTAGCTGCCAGTTTCCAGTCAGGACACTGAGGTTTGAGTCAGACTGAAAYTCAGACTTGGATTCAGAGGTACGGTGTGTGTCAGTGTGTGCTGTGGGCATGTTTTCAGGAAAATGTACTGAGCCAGGCTGGGTTTACTTATTGCTATATGGAATTTAGTAAACAGGTCAGCAAAGATTTTTCTAATCTAATTCAGACAATCTTCTGTTCTGAAAGAAAGGAAACAGCTTTTTGTGAACGATAATTGGTCTAAAAACACAATAAACCAGCATTTTACTGGAGTTTTGAGTCTGAGGTTAAAATATTCATTAGACTCAAATGTCCTAAAGGGTCATAAGGGTCTAWAGTAAGTTTCTTGATTTCTATAGCAAACATCTAACTTAAACAGAAGAATCGGTCAAATGATGTTTGTCTGCACTTCAACTTCCACTTCAGGAAGTYWTTTGTCCCTCAGGCAATTAGGCTTTTCAACTCATCTCAGTACAGTAAAAAATAATAAATAAATAAATAAAATCATGTGATTCTGAACAATTTAAAACAGTTTTTATCTCTCTACATAAATACATATGTGTCTGTTCATTTTTAAGCATATTTTAGTTTTTATTTTTGTTATCTGTAAATGTACAGTTGCTGGATGCCTTAAATTTCCCCCAGGGATCAATAACGTATCTATCAATCAAATCAATCAATCAATCAACTTATTGTTTCCTGAAAAAAAGAAGTGAAAATGAACATTTATTGCTCCAGTGTTTAAGAAGTATTAGTTTGTTATTTTAGAAGAAAAAGAGAAAGAAAAAGAAAGATCCGCTGTAACTTTTTATAGTTGGAACATCTTTGAGCAGACTACAAGTTGCGTTTAAAAGATTGTTCTGTCAATTAGTTTACATAATTTTTSTGTTGTTTTTCATAAAGAAAACATTAGAAACTGGTGGCACAAGTCAAAACCAAACATTAGGGTTAGAAAATGCGGATTGGCTTTGGAGTTCAGATGCCGTTTACTCACCAACAAAAGAAAATCTCAATGTGTTTGAGTGTACAGGTGTGTGTTTTTGACCATTTTCCAGGTACACACAGCCTGCTGAGAACCCACTGTTTTTTATGGGGACAAAAGCCCGTGGGTCACGGGTTTGGTTTAGGACTGACAGGTGAACTGAGTTTAGGTTGGGTTTTGGGTCAGGTACCTGTGAGGTTAGGTTTGGGTAAGGGGTCAGTGTCAGGCCTGGTTATTAGGTTAGGTTAGTATGAAATAAATGAATGGAAATCAGTGCAAAGTCCCCATGAGGATAGAAGAAAAAACGCTTGTGTGCCCGTGTGCGGATGCTGACCTGACCACTTTGGTGCCGCTCCGGACAACCTGCATGTCCACGTTGCAGGTTCCATTGGAATGTGAAACAAGGTTGATGTCTGAGAACTCCGCCTACATGGAGAGAAAAACAGAAAATAGTTAAACCTGTTCAACAATAAGAAAGTTTTTTTTCCAGCTGATTTCTTTGTCATTTCAACTACCACTTTGTGCATAAATAAAAACAACTGAATCACTTGTTCCTATAAGCAGCTTAACGGAACATGAGTCAAACACTTCAGTGCACTTTTGCACCTGCGTACCGGCTTTAATTTCCTGCACAGTTGCTTTAGAAAATGATGTGYGTATATGTTGCTGCTCTGTGGTGTGGTGAAGACTCAGGGTGACTCATAGCTTCCTCCTTCTGTCTCGTCTGGTCATGTTTCATTTCTGTGCTGAGGTCTGAAGTTGTGATTCAGCATGTATTAGGTGTGAAACTGTTTTATGTGAAACACCCCAGAAGAAAAGTCCTCACAAATTCAGCAACAAAGCGTCACAAATTGGTTTTCTGGTTAGTTAGCCAAACCAATATGAAACCAACATGTCATATGAGGCTGCTTTTACGACAGAACATAAAAACTTGAGCTGAACAGCACATTGAGTTTTATATTCAAATGGGGTTTTAAAAGGGTGACCACATTTTATACATAATTACTCATTAACAGCACAGACATTAGGTAAATATAACAATGGAAAATGCTCACATAGGCAGTATTCAGCTTATTTATTAATTATCTGCTAAATCTGGATTACAAAAAATTTCCACACGAGGATTAAAAGCCTAGGAATTTCATTTGAAATAAGATTAAGAAACTAAAATCATCTTTTGTTAGGAAATGCAGTGTTTTCGTTTTGGTCAGTAACCTTGAAAATAACATTATGCACAAACTCATGCAATATTACAATATCTAATGTGATCGWKTAGTGCTCAGAGTGTGTGATGGGTATAACTGTCAGCTACTACCACTACAAATCTTAGCTTAGTATCTRCAAAACAGGCTGAGTTATAGTCATGTTGGGGTGTAATAAGGTTGACTGGCTGTGGGAACCATACTGAATTGACTTCAAAAGGTAAATCAGGGGTTAGGCAATAAAACTGAAACAGCTGGATTTAGACCATAACATCCCTTTCAAACAGCTTCCTTTTGCATCCACAGTTAATCCTGTTGGATGTGGTTCGTCC